GCACTGATGCCTGAGTGACACTTGAATCCTGCTCTTTCTATTATTCATTGTGCTCCACGGTAGGCGATGCGGGAAGGTTGGAGAAGACGGGGGGAGAGTCGGAGACTTTGGGGGTCATGGAGACCGGGAAGCCCTTCAGACGGACTCGGACCCGCAGCTGTGAAGTTGTCGCTGCACGGAGGAGAATGAAGACTCATTTTAAAATAAGAAGTTCCCGCTGTGTGTCCCCCCGTCTGTGTGAGGCAGAGGTGAGTCAGAGGGAGGCAGGTGAGGGAGAAGTCTCTCTGTGGACTGACACTCATTACTATGATCAGATCTTACCCTGAAATATTCAAATAAAACCTTTCAATTATTTTATTTTTTATTTTAAACCCAGACAGAACCCCCCCCCCCAAATGTTTTGTTCTTGTAAACTTAATTATTTGATATAATAGAAAAGTTATTAATAAATATAAGATCATAAATTAAAAAAATACCACCATGGTGAAAGAGTGGCCTTACAGTAAGGAGGTCACTGGTCGGATTTCTACTCTCTTCATATAATTGTCTTTTCGTCGTCAGTCTGACGATGCTGCGTCAACTTTTCTTCTTATTTCTTCTCAGCTGCAGCGTTGGCGGTAACGGTGGAGGAACCGCTGGGCGACCGTCTCAGTATGTCCTAACGACAGCCACGCCTTCAGGAATGGATGCGAAGAACGTTACGACGGTCATTGACGGAGGGTTTTTGGAGGAGGTGCCGTCCAGACGCGTGCTGACCGCCTGCTTCCTGTCGCTGCTCATCCTCACCACCTTACTGGGCAACACCCTGGTTTGCGCAGCTGTCACCAAGTTCCGTCACCTTCGCACTAAAGTGACCAACTTTTTTGTCATTTCCCTGGCGGTGTCGGACCTCCTGGTGGCCGTCCTGGTGATGCCGTGGAAGGCCGTGACAGAGATCGTCGGCTTCTGGCCGTTCGGCTCCTTCTGTGACACCTGGGTGGCGTGTGACATCATGTGCTCCACAGCCTCCATCTTGAACCTGTGTGTGATTAGCCTGGACCGGTACTGGGCCATCTCCAGCCCCTTCCTCTATGAAAGGAAGATGACCCCCAAAGTGGCCTCCGTGATGATCAGTGTAGCCTGGACACTCTCGGTTCTAATTTCCTTCATTCCGGTGCAGCTAAACTGGCACAAGGCTCAAACTAAGGCTTACAGCCCCCACGTGGTGTCACCCAACCCTTTGGAATTAAACACAACAATTTACCAGAGTCCAGAAAACTGTGACTCCAGCCTTAACAGGACCTACGCCATCTCAACATCTCTGATAAGTTTCTACATCCCCGTGGTCATCATGGTGGCCACCTACACCCAGATCTACCGCATCGCCCACAAACAAATCCGAAGGATCTCTGCGCTGGAGCGAGCGGCCGAGAGTGCGAAGAACAGGCACGACAGCATGGGCGGAGGTTCCAGCATCGCCGAGTCCGAGAGCTCCTTTAGACTGACGTTCAAGAGGGAGACCAAAGTGCTGAAGACTCTGTCGGTCATAATGGGGGTGTTCGTGTGCTGCTGGCTCCCCTTCTTCATCCTCAACTGCATGGTGCCCTTCTGCGAGCCGTCGGACGGAGGGCGGACGTTTCCCTGCATCAGCCCCACGACCTTTGACGTGTTCGTCTGGTTCGGTTGGGCCAACTCCTCCCTCAACCCCATCATCTACGCCTTCAATGCAGATTTCCGTCGGGCCTTCTCCATCCTGCTGGGCTGTCACAGACCGTACCGAGGAGGCCAGGACGTGGAGACGGTCAGTCTACACAAGCAGTGACTCCTTGCTGCGCCGCTGCCTTGATGCTGCCCTAATGCTCACCTGTAGAGGGCAGTCACATCAACTCTCTGTGCTAACTCAGTTAGTGCGGCAAAATAACCCTGTGACCCAACGCGTACGTCTGTTTGTGCTGAGAGGTGAGGAGATGTGAAAGAGTTTTTCATGTTGCTTCAACTGTGTGTGGACGGAAGAAGCTTCTGGAACCTGGAAATGAGGTCATCGAAGAAAGAAAACTAGTCCCTCGTCCCGTCAGACGCTCAGTTTCTACTTACACCAACACAGCTGTTGTCACAACAACAGCCGCTGCAGTTAGTTACAGCGAACTATTAGGTCTCTGTTGTGTTTGCTCTCTGGACTGATCCAGCCTCCAACCAAACTCCAGTTCAACACAGAGGACAGATCATCCATCAGCAAACTGTTATTTATGTCTCGTCCTTGTTATTTATACCCCACTGAAATGTGAGCAAATCATTGTAGCGGTAAATCAAACCTACTCTACAGACACACAATACAGGACCTGTCCCTGCCTGAGGTGTTTTATGGATGAGTGTCTCAGATCACGTCTTGTATTTTTCATTGACAACAGCTGATGGCTTCAGTGTGTTCCCCGACATGTTCTGTCGACGACCGCTCACATACGACTTGTTACGGTGGAATACATTCATGATTTTCTTCCAACCAGTGAATTTACTGTAGAACGTTTTGACCGGGGAGGTCACGATTATGGAGAATTATTGTCACAATATTAAGATTTTTACGCATCGATTGATTTCACAACACTATAAATGTGTACAATCACATGACCTCTCCTTGTTGATCTTCAAGTTTCCTTGATTTCGTTGCCAACATAACAAACCTATATAGCAACAAGGCAAGTACCCAAATGGTGAAAACAATAACAACAACGATCCCATAATGTAACGAAACAAAAATCACCAGCGCTCTGTAAGCAGTTAGTTAGCAGTTAGCATGATAAAATAAAAATGTATTTCTGTCAGGAATCAGACGTGAAGACAGAACCTCTCAATCACACTAAATAATTACATCACTAATTATTTGGACCAATCATCAACTGACATCTATACCAGATGTTTACGTTTATTTGAATGGTTTAGTGTTTGTGGCCACATATAAAACTAATCTATTTTTTATTTATTTATTATTGTTTGTTTATTTTATGTTTAAATTACAATGACAGACACAAGGACTGGAATCACCAGCACGGCGTTAACTCACAGATGGGATAAAGCTAAAGGAGCTAAAGCTAACCGTTGACTACAGCGTGTTGTACTCGTACACAATGCATTTCAAACGGCACCAGCTAGCATTTAATTTCCCACCAGTTCAATGTTACGTTACTCGCGTGATTTGAGGCAGTTACTGTGAATGAACCTTTACAAAGGCGGGTGGTTGTCCCGCGGCTGATGACACATGTTGGAGCGTTTTCCTCCTTTCTTCTGTTATGTTGCCAGCTGGCAACTCATAAACCACCAGGACATGTGATCATTTTTCTTTAGGCTAAATAATCTCACACCTCTGTCAGTTACAGGGACGGGAAACAAACACAACACACACGGGTGTTTGAGTTGCTAACTATAGTTCCAGCATATTATTGTAACATCCCTTTGTTTTAACCACTCTTTCAGGTTTAGCCATAATTCTTACAGATGCTAATTTATATTTGACTCTACAGATACAAAGACTGATGTTGACATGTGATAAAGTGGGCTGTGACCCACACAGAGTGAGTAGAAAAGAAATGGCACAGACAACTCTTCACCAGCAGAACCAAAGTCGGAGTGGATTATTATAATTCTGAGGTGGATTATCTGATCACAGATTGTCTGGTTACTGTGTCTCAGGATACGTATTTTTAGCAACGTCACGTGTTCCTGCTTTTTATTGTTTTAAGCCTGTTTGAATCCCTGTCCTCACTCTGTCCTCACTCTGACATCACTCTGACATCACTCTGACATCACTGCGGGAAGTCACGACACTGACCAGACAACAGTCACTACTGACCAGATTACAGACACTACTGACCAGACTACAGACACTACTGACCAGACTAGACACTACTGACCAGACTACAGACGCTACTGACCAGACTACAGTGAATACTGACCAGACTACAGACACTATTGACCAGACTACACTCACTACTGACCAGACTAGACACTACTGACCAGACAACAGACACTACTGACCACACAACAGTCACTACTAACCAGACTACAGACACTACTGACCAGACTACAGACACTACACTCAGAGCTGAGCTTCAACAGGGTTTAATACCCTCCATGTCTACGGGAAGGTCTGAGAAGAAACTGTGATCAGACTGTGATTACTCTGTGCTCAACAGGTGGTTCTGGTTCTGTTGTGTAACAGTTTACAACATCAGAGGAATGGTTCTCCTTAGTCACGTGATAATATGTGGATCAACAGCTAAATAAAATCACGATAAACTCCCCCTCCTCCTCCCTCTGTGTGTGTGTGTGTGTGTGTGTGCAGCTTGGACCTCCACACATGTCACTTCCTGAAGCACCAGAAGCCAATGACCTGCAGTAGAACGTCACTCTGACACCAGTCTGGTTCTGGTTCTGGTTCTTGGAGTTCAGTCTGGTGATTAACAGCTGTCGTCAGGGAAGGTGCAGCGAGGACATGTCACTGGTTCATCCTGAACGGTTCATCCTAAAGTGATTAGAGTCATAAAAGGATGACATTAAAGGCTGAGACACACAGGATGGATTATCCAATCAAATTTAACTTTCTCCACTTTCTGACACACCGTAAACACAAACCACCTTTGAAGTGTCCCCTGCAGCGGGGGCTGTGATCTGGACCGTCCTCGTCTCTGGTCGTTGGACAGAGGACGTAGAGTGAGCATGAACTCAGGATGAACTGAGTCTGTACCAGGATGTACTGTAGAGAGAACCCAGGTGGACCATGAAGGGGATTCAACGGTGTGAATTCTGTGAATAAAAGAAACATCAGTGTGAATAAATTAAACTCTAGTGTGAATAAAGCCCGTCTCCATGTTGGTGAACTCATTAACGAAGCTGGTTAACGAGTTGTGGATCAGGAGCAGATGATGCTGTGACTGACGTCCACTGCAGCCGTGGTCACAGCCCGACTGAAGAATGTTTGAAGGATGAGGGTGAATTGTGATGCTGCCAATTCAAACTGTGCCTGCGGGGGGTGCAGGGAGGATTTGCCCCCCCCCCTTTAAGACATCCAGGCATCGGCAGCAGGAAGTGTCAGCGCCATCTGTGAAAAGGTGTGATAATGTGTAAACTGAAGCACCAGAGCAGAGATGTCTGCTGGTTTGGTCTGATCGTGTTAAGACCAGACCAGCAGACACGACGGAACGGCAGCCGATGGTCCAGAAACCCCCCCCCCCCCCCCCCCCCGACTGGACCGGGACAAGAACATTCAATAGTTCTGATGAACACAACTTTTCTGAAGATGTGCTCTGTGCTCAAGGTTGACTGTCCTCACAGTGACAAGCTGAACAAACAGCCCCTGCAGAGACGAGGAGAACAGGAAGGAGGGAGGGGGGGGGGGTAAGGACGACGGGCAGGAAAGAGTTTCTGAGAACAGTGACAGGGTTGAAGATAAGAAAACAGTTCCTCTCTGTCCTTGGAGGAACCAACGGTGAATGTTAAAGACACACAGCAGTGGTTCCTCTGAAACAGTACCAGAGACCAACCTGCTCCTGGTGCTGTCTCCTCGACTGGAGACCACTGGAACTACAGCTCTGTTGGATCTGAATGTCATTTTAGGATTAATATTATGAATAAAACCTCACATTTCTAAACCCGTGTGCAGTGAAGGAGTTTTATCCACAGATGGTCTTGAATGTCACGGCCGACGAGGTCGGTCCAATCAAACCAGAGAAATCCCACTCATATTTCAGAGTTCCACTGATCTCCCTGCCTCAGCTTCGTCCTGGGGCAAATGTTTGTCTCCGTCTTTGTGTTTCTGAATATCTGCTTCAGCGGTTTGTTCTTCAGTTACCAGAAAGAGATCGGGGGCTCGGCCTCCTTCAACAACAACAACCTAACCCTAACTCTACAATGGAGGCCAAAGGCAAGATTGATGACTCATGGATCTCAGGAGACCAACGGACTGATCTGTGACAATGGACAGGGCTACGGATGACAGGGCTTTGAAAAGGATCAGTCACAGAGTACGAGCCGTCGGCTGGGCAGTGGTCGGACGTCACCGTGAGACACGGACTCGTTGACATTGTTGTCTTTCAAACACATCAAAACAAATGAGAAAAAGGTCAAATCCTCAAGTGACAGCACTTTTCAGGTCGACTGTCGCTGTGAACACAATGGACGCTAACGTAACGCTAACTAACAGCTGAGCTCATGTTATGATCTGAAGCTCAGAGGTCAACAGGTCACCAGGTCACCAGCGGCGTTGGACACAGACATGACAGTCTCAGGCCTTTGAACCAAACAAAGATCCAGACTCACAGCAGGTCTGGTTCTTCAGTCCTCACTGATGGAAGACAACCTGAGGAGACACTGTCTGTCCCACAACTGTCTCACAGCTCTGAGGTGGACGAGGGGGATCGGGTTGGCTGAAGGAAAGGTCCGCACAAGAGACCAAGTGCCAGAGGGTGGCGCTACTCTGAAAGGATGGAGGAGCCTCTGAGTGAGTGAGTGAGTGAGAGAGAGAGAAAGAGAGAGAGAAAGAAGGATGGAAGGATAATTAGGTAGGTTAGGGTTTTAGAGAGAGAGAAAGACTCCCTTCCTCCCTCCCTTCCTCCCTTCCTCCCTTCCTTCCTCCCCCCCTCCCTTCCTCCCTTCCTTCCTTCCTTCCTTCCTTCCTCCCTTCCTTCTTTCTTCCCTCCCTCCCTTCCTCCCTCCCTCCCTCCCTCCCTCTGGTCCTGTTACCTCAGCTGACCCGTTCCTCCAGTTGCTCGTTGACCAGGAGTCCATGTGTCCTGAGCAGCAGCCCAGTTCTGATTGGACGCTCATGATGTTCATAACTTTCTGCTTCTCACAGGACAATGAGCGTGAGCAGAATTCAGACCAAAGTAGTGGAGGGGGGGGGCAGGGCGGGGTCACACACCTGCTCCACAGCTTTGAAGACAAGATGAAAGCAGGTGGAGGGACGATAACTCTGTCCAGGCTTCACTTCCTGACACTGGGCGACAACAACAAACAACCACACAGCTCCACACTGACTCACACTGGTCACACCCCCCACCCCCCCCCCCCCCC